TATATGTATTTTTTTTTTTTTGCGGGGGTGCCGACATTCCTCAACCGGTAGGTGCCGACCAGCCGATCGGTCGGCAGGTCGGCAGCCAACCAGTCATGGGCCGCCGACCGTTGGGCGGTGCAACACTGTTTGCATTTGATTCCACCATGATTCAAACTTATCACCCGCATGGGGACCACTGGTTTGTCTCAATTGTTATGCCACACCCATGCCTGTCACAGCTACAAAGAGAAAGTACACATCGGCGAACACAGAGAGTAGTTGATTGATCCACAAACATCAAAGGGATCAGAACCGCTACAAGAATGACCCGACAGTTGCACGACACTTGTGACGCACAGAGACCGTTTTGTAATTATAAATTATCACATACGAAAAAAGAGTTTTGCAATCTTTGCTACTTGTAGTTACATAGGATCTATGAAGTATTACTACAATACAAATCTCCAGAGTACAGAAATGTATATTCGGATGTCAAAAGGAGAGGCGATCGAGCTCTTTCCGGAGCAGAATATCACTTTCCGATACGTTCGCAAACACCAGAGACACCTTGCGAAACCAAACACAGTACAACACACAATTTGGTACACGATAGAGCGTAGAGAACCTTCATACATAGCTCCATTCTGGACTTAATTCGGGTGCAAAAAGGACATACCGTCAAGCTCCTTCCGGAGCAAGATATCAAACATCCAACACATTTAAAAATGCCAGAGTGAAAATGTGAAACCAAACACGATACACACACAATGTGGTTCCCGATAGAACCTAAGAGAACAATCGTAACCAGCTCCAAATGCAAAAAGGAGATCCAATCAAGCTCTTTCCGGAGCAAGATATCACTGGCTGACATATTTGCAAACACCAGAGTGACATTGCTTAACAAAAAACAATATACGTAATTCGGTTCATGTTAGAGCATCAGAGGCCAACCATACACAGCTCCATTCTGAAGCACCACCTAACAGTGTCCATGATTGCATTCACATCAAACTTTGATTGAATCCTTTGTTCAATCCTCTTTCACAAACATGATTGGACTTCTTGAAAGGGAAGTTAAAAAACACACTTCAGACCAGAACTCAACCATCCATCAATTCATAAACGTACAATCAAGAAAGTCTCACCTATCAAAGATCTCGATTGGTACATCAAACACTTTCGTTCTATCCTCTACCTATCACAATCAATCATATTCAAACCTTAAGACTTTAAAACCATCGATGAATCACAAATCCACAGTCAAGGCGTAACGAAGATTCTGAACAGTTTCAGGGCAGTGCTAAAATCAACAACCCTTAGCCCACCCCTCTCGTAGTGAGAGGAAAAAAAGAACTCCCTGCATGATGAGCCCAAAACAAACAAACGAACTACAAAAAGCAGCCAATGGCATGACCTGGAACCTACAAACCACACAACTGCAGAAAATCAGAAAATAATTACAACTCCATCTCCTCCTACCTAAGAGCCTACAGGCTGGTCTATGCCTATCTTCAAGGAGGGTCTACAGATCATACTGGTTTCCTCCTCCGAGAATCTTGGGCCCACTAGGATTCCAGCATGTGTGAACCCTTGGGTAGGTGCCTGACTAATAACTGAAACACCACCTTCTTTTCCATGGTAAATAGCATACTTGCAACCGCACGAGCCGCACATTCGTGCGGAGTTCCGTGTGGAGTTCCATGTGGGGGGTGCCTGTGCGGAATCGTGCAGGTTTTTTATTTTTATTATTATTATTTAAATTTATTTTATCTTTTTCTGGGAGGGGGAACGTGGGGTCGTATGACAGGAAGATGGGGATACAGCGAGGAGAGGGGGATATGGAGAGGAGGAGGACGACAAGGATAGCGAGGACGACGAGGAGTCATCGAGATGGGGGGAGGAGAAGAGATGGACGGAGGGAAAAGAGGAAGGGCAGGAGGAGGAGGAAACATGGACAGCGAGGAAGGGGAGGACACAAGGAAGAGGAGGACACGAGAAGGGAAGGACACGAGGAGGCACGGAAGATGAGGAAGTACGAGGAGGAGGGGACAAGGAGGATGAGGAAGGGCAGGAGGAGGAGGAAACATGGACAGCGAGGAAGGGGAGGACACAAGGAAGAGGAGGACACGAGAAGGGAAGGACACGAGGAGGCACGGAAGATGAGGAAGTACGAGGAGGAGGGGACAAGGAGGATGAGGAAGGGCAGGAGGAGGAGGAAACATGGACAGCGAGGAAGGGGAGGACACAAGGAAGAGGAGGACACGAGAAGGGAAGGACACGAGGAGGCACGGAAGATGAGGAAGTACGAGGAGGAGGGGACAAGGAGGATGAGGAAGGGCAGGAGGAGGAGGAAACATGGACAGCGAGGAAGGGGAGGACACAAGGAAGAGGAGGACACGAGAAGGGAAGGACACGAGGAGGCACGGAAGATGAGGAAGTACGAGGAGGAGGGGACAAGGAGGATGAGGAAGGGCAGGAGGAGGAGGAAACATGGACAGCGAGGAAGGGGAGGACACAAGGAAGAGGAGGACACGAGAAGGGAAGGACACGAGGAGGCACGGAAGATGAGGAAGTACGAGGAGGAGGGGACAAGGAGGATGAGGAAGGGCAGGAGGAGGAGGAAACATGGACAGCGAGGAAGGGGAGGACACAAGGAAGAGGAGGACACGAGAAGGGAAGGACACGAGGAGGCACGGAAGATGAGGAAGTACGAGGAGGAGGGGACAAGGAGGATGAGGAAGGGCAGGAGGAGGAGGAAACATGGACAGCGAGGAAGGGGAGGACACAAGGAAGAGGAGGACACGAGAAGGGAAGGACACGAGGAGGCACGGAAGATGAGGAAGTACGAGGAGGAGGGGACAAGGAGGATGAGGAAGGGCAGGAGGAGGAGGAAACATGGACAGCGAGGAAGGGGAGGACACAAGGAAGAGGAGGACACGAGAAGGGAAGGACACGAGGAGGCACGGAAGATGAGGAAGTACGAGGAGGAGGGGACAAGGAGGATGAGGAAGGGCAGGAGGAGGAGGAAACATGGACAGCGAGGAAGGGGAGGACACAAGGAAGAGGAGGACACGAGAAGGGAAGGACACGAGGAGGCACGGAAGATGAGGAAGTACGAGGAGGAGGGGACAAGGAGGATGAGGAAGGGCAGGAGGAGGAGGAAACATGGACAGCGAGGAAGGGGAGGACACAAGGAAGAGGAGGACACGAGAAGGGAAGGACACGAGGAGGCACGGAAGATGAGGAAGTACGAGGAGGAGGGGACAAGGAGGATGAGGAAGGGCAGGAGGAGGAGGAAACATGGACAGCGAGGAAGGGGAGGACACAAGGAAGAGGAGGACACGAGAAGGGAAGGACACGAGGAGGCACGGAAGATGAGGAAGTACGAGGAGGAGGGGACAAGGAGGATGAGGAAGGGCAGGAGGAGGAGGAAACATGGACAGCGAGGAAGGGGAGGACACAAGGAAGAGGAGGACACGAGAAGGGAAGGACACGAGGAGGCACGGAAGATGAGGAAGTACGAGGAGGAGGGGACAAGGAGGATGAGGAAGGGCAGGAGGAGGAGGAAACATGGACAGCGAGGAAGGGGAGGACACAAGGAAGAGGAGGACACGAGAAGGGAAGGACACGAGGAGGCACGGAAGATGAGGAAGTACGAGGAGGAGGGGACAAGGAGGATGAGGAAGGGCAGGAGGAGGAGGAAACATGGACAGCGAGGAAGGGGAGGACACAAGGAAGAGGAGGACACGAGAAGGGAAGGACACGAGGAGGCACGGAAGATGAGGAAGTACGAGGAGGAGGGGACAAGGAGGATGAGGAAGGGCAGGAGGAGGAGGAAACATGGACAGCGAGGAAGGGGAGGACACAAGGAAGAGGAGGACACGAGAAGGGAAGGACACGAGGAGGCACGGAAGATGAGGAAGTACGAGGAGGAGGGGACAAGGAGGATGAGGAAGGGCAGGAGGAGGAGGAAACATGGACAGCGAGGAAGGGGAGGACACAAGGAAGAGGAGGACACGAGAAGGGAAGGACACGAGGAGGCACGGAAGATGAGGAAGTACGAGGAGGAGGGGACAAGGAGGATGAGGAAGGGCAGGAGGAGGAGGAAACATGGACAGCGAGGAAGGGGAGGACACAAGGAAGAGGAGGACACGAGAAGGGAAGGACACGAGGAGGCACGGAAGATGAGGAAGTACGAGGAGGAGGGGACAAGGAGGATGAGGAAGGGCAGGAGGAGGAGGAAACATGGACAGCGAGGAAGGGGAGGACACAAGGAAGAGGAGGACACGAGAAGGGAAGGACACGAGGAGGCACGGAAGATGAGGAAGTACGAGGAGGAGGGGACAAGGAGGATGAGGAAGGGCAGGAGGAGGAGGAAACATGGACAGCGAGGAAGGGGAGGACACAAGGAAGAGGAGGACACGAGAAGGGAAGGACACGAGGAGGCACGGAAGATGAGGAAGTACGAGGAGGAGGGGACAAGGAGGATGAGGAAGGGCAGGAGGAGGAGGAAACATGGACAGCGAGGAAGGGGAGGACACAAGGAAGAGGAGGACACGAGAAGGGAAGGACACGAGGAGGCACGGAAGATGAGGAAGTACGAGGAGGAGGGGACAAGGAGGATGAGGAAGGGCAGGAGGAGGAGGAAACATGGACAGCGAGGAAGGGGAGGACACAAGGAAGAGGAGGACACGAGAAGGGAAGGACACGAGGAGGCACGGAAGATGAGGAAGTACGAGGAGGAGGGGACAAGGAGGATGAGGAAGGGCAGGAGGAGGAGGAAACATGGACAGCGAGGAAGGGGAGGACACAAGGAAGAGGAGGACACGAGAAGGGAAGGACACGAGGAGGCACGGAAGATGAGGAAGTACGAGGAGGAGGGGACAAGGAGGATGAGGAAGGGCAGGAGGAGGAGGAAACATGGACAGCGAGGAAGGGGAGGACACAAGGAAGAGGAGGACACGAGAAGGGAAGGACACGAGGAGGCACGGAAGATGAGGAAGTACGAGGAGGAGGGGACAAGGAGGATGAGGAAGGGCAGGAGGAGGAGGAAACATGGACAGCGAGGAAGGGGAGGACACAAGGAAGAGGAGGACACGAGAAGGGAAGGACACGAGGAGGCACGGAAGATGAGGAAGTACGAGGAGGAGGGGACAAGGAGGATGAGGAAGGGCAGGAGGAGGAGGAAACATGGACAGCGAGGAAGGGGAGGACACAAGGAAGAGGAGGACACGAGAAGGGAAGGACACGAGGAGGCACGGAAGATGAGGAAGTACGAGGAGGAGGGGACAAGGAGGATGAGGAAGGGCAGGAGGAGGAGGAAACATGGACAGCGAGGAAGGGGAGGACACAAGGAAGAGGAGGACACGAGAAGGGAAGGACACGAGGAGGCACGGAAGATGAGGAAGTACGAGGAGGAGGGGACAAGGAGGATGAGGAAGGGCAGGAGGAGGAGGAAACATGGACAGCGAGGAAGGGGAGGACACAAGGAAGAGGAGGACACGAGAAGGGAAGGACACGAGGAGGCACGGAAGATGAGGAAGTACGAGGAGGAGGGGACAAGGAGGATGAGGAAGGGCAGGAGGAGGAGGAAACATGGACAGCGAGGAAGGGGAGGACACAAGGAAGAGGAGGACACGAGAAGGGAAGGACACGAGGAGGCACGGAAGATGAGGAAGTACGAGGAGGAGGGGACAAGGAGGATGAGGAAGGGCAGGAGGAGGAGGAAACATGGACAGCGAGGAAGGGGAGGACACAAGGAAGAGGAGGACACGAGAAGGGAAGGACACGAGGAGGCACGGAAGATGAGGAAGTACGAGGAGGAGGGGACAAGGAGGATGAGGAAGGGCAGGAGGAGGAGGAAACATGGACAGCGAGGAAGGGGAGGACACAAGGAAGAGGAGGACACGAGAAGGGAAGGACACGAGGAGGCACGGAAGATGAGGAAGTACGAGGAGGAGGGGACAAGGAGGATGAGGAAGGGCAGGAGGAGGAGGAAACATGGACAGCGAGGAAGGGGAGGACACAAGGAAGAGGAGGACACGAGAAGGGAAGGACACGAGGAGGCACGGAAGATGAGGAAGTACGAGGAGGAGGGGACAAGGAGGATGAGGAAGGGCAGGAGGAGGAGGAAACATGGACAGCGAGGAAGGGGAGGACACAAGGAAGAGGAGGACACGAGAAGGGAAGGACACGAGGAGGCACGGAAGATGAGGAAGTACGAGGAGGAGGGGACAAGGAGGATGAGGAAGGGCAGGAGGAGGAGGAAACATGGACAGCGAGGAAGGGGAGGACACAAGGAAGAGGAGGACACGAGAAGGGAAGGACACGAGGAGGCACGGAAGATGAGGAAGTACGAGGAGGAGGGGACAAGGAGGATGAGGAAGGGCAGGAGGAGGAGGAAACATGGACAGCGAGGAAGGGGAGGACACAAGGAAGAGGAGGACACGAGAAGGGAAGGACACGAGGAGGCACGGAAGATGAGGAAGTACGAGGAGGAGGGGACAAGGAGGATGAGGAAGGGCAGGAGGAGGAGGAAACATGGACAGCGAGGAAGGGGAGGACACAAGGAAGAGGAGGACACGAGAAGGGAAGGACACGAGGAGGCACGGAAGATGAGGAAGTACGAGGAGGAGGGGACAAGGAGGATGAGGAAGGGCAGGAGGAGGAGGAAACATGGACAGCGAGGAAGGGGAGGACACAAGGAAGAGGAGGACACGAGAAGGGAAGGACACGAGGAGGCACGGAAGATGAGGAAGTACGAGGAGGAGGGGACAAGGAGGATGAGGAAGGGCAGGAGGAGGAGGAAACATGGACAGCGAGGAAGGGGAGGACACAAGGAAGAGGAGGACACGAGAAGGGAAGGACACGAGGAGGCACGGAAGATGAGGAAGTACGAGGAGGAGGGGACAAGGAGGATGAGGAAGGGCAGGAGGAGGAGGAAACATGGACAGCGAGGAAGGGGAGGACACAAGGAAGAGGAGGACACGAGAAGGGAAGGACACGAGGAGGCACGGAAGATGAGGAAGTACGAGGAGGAGGGGACAAGGAGGATGAGGAAGGGCAGGAGGAGGAGGAAACATGGACAGCGAGGAAGGGGAGGACACAAGGAAGAGGAGGACACGAGAAGGGAAGGACACGAGGAGGCACGGAAGATGAGGAAGTACGAGGAGGAGGGGACAAGGAGGATGAGGAAGGGCAGGAGGAGGAGGAAACATGGACAGCGAGGAAGGGGAGGACACAAGGAAGAGGAGGACACGAGAAGGGAAGGACACGAGGAGGCACGGAAGATGAGGAAGTACGAGGAGGAGGGGACAAGGAGGATGAGGAAGGGCAGGAGGAGGAGGAAACATGGACAGCGAGGAAGGGGAGGACACAAGGAAGAGGAGGACACGAGAAGGGAAGGACACGAGGAGGCACGGAAGATGAGGAAGTACGAGGAGGAGGGGACAAGGAGGATGAGGAAGGGCAGGAGGAGGAGGAAACATGGACAGCGAGGAAGGGGAGGACACAAGGAAGAGGAGGACACGAGAAGGGAAGGACACGAGGAGGCACGGAAGATGAGGAAGTACGAGGAGGAGGGGACAAGGAGGATGAGGAAGGGCAGGAGGAGGAGGAAACATGGACAGCGAGGAAGGGGAGGACACAAGGAAGAGGAGGACACGAGAAGGGAAGGACACGAGGAGGCACGGAAGATGAGGAAGTACGAGGAGGAGGGGACAAGGAGGATGAGGAAGGGCAGGAGGAGGAGGAAACATGGACAGCGAGGAAGGGGAGGACACAAGGAAGAGGAGGACACGAGAAGGGAAGGACACGAGGAGGCACGGAAGATGAGGAAGTACGAGGAGGAGGGGACAAGGAGGATGAGGAAGGGCAGGAGGAGGAGGAAACATGGACAGCGAGGAAGGGGAGGACACAAGGAAGAGGAGGACACGAGAAGGGAAGGACACGAGGAGGCACGGAAGATGAGGAAGTACGAGGAGGAGGGGACAAGGAGGATGAGGAAGGGCAGGAGGAGGAGGAAACATGGACAGCGAGGAAGGGGAGGACACAAGGAAGAGGAGGACACGAGAAGGGAAGGACACGAGGAGGCACGGAAGATGAGGAAGTACGAGGAGGAGGGGACAAGGAGGATGAGGAAGGGCAGGAGGAGGAGGAAACATGGACAGCGAGGAAGGGGAGGACACAAGGAAGAGGAGGACACGAGAAGGGAAGGACACGAGGAGGCACGGAAGATGAGGAAGTACGAGGAGGAGGGGACAAGGAGGATGAGGAAGGGCAGGAGGAGGAGGAAACATGGACAGCGAGGAAGGGGAGGACACAAGGAAGAGGAGGACACGAGAAGGGAAGGACACGAGGAGGCACGGAAGATGAGGAAGTACGAGGAGGAGGGGACAAGGAGGATGAGGAAGGGCAGGAGGAGGAGGAAACATGGACAGCGAGGAAGGGGAGGACACAAGGAAGAGGAGGACACGAGAAGGGAAGGACACGAGGAGGCACGGAAGATGAGGAAGTACGAGGAGGAGGGGACAAGGAGGATGAGGAAGGGCAGGAGGAGGAGGAAACATGGACAGCGAGGAAGGGGAGGACACAAGGAAGAGGAGGACACGAGAAGGGAAGGACACGAGGAGGCACGGAAGATGAGGAAGTACGAGGAGGAGGGGACAAGGAGGATGAGGAAGGGCAGGAGGAGGAGGAAACATGGACAGCGAGGAAGGGGAGGACACAAGGAAGAGGAGGACACGAGAAGGGAAGGACACGAGGAGGCACGGAAGATGAGGAAGTACGAGGAGGAGGGGACAAGGAGGATGAGGAAGGGCAGGAGGAGGAGGAAACATGGACAGCGAGGAAGGGGAGGACACAAGGAAGAGGAGGACACGAGAAGGGAAGGACACGAGGAGGCACGGAAGATGAGGAAGTACGAGGAGGAGGGGACAAGGAGGATGAGGAAGGGCAGGAGGAGGAGGAAACATGGACAGCGAGGAAGGGGAGGACACAAGGAAGAGGAGGACACGAGAAGGGAAGGACACGAGGAGGCACGGAAGATGAGGAAGTACGAGGAGGAGGGGACAAGGAGGATGAGGAAGGGCAGGAGGAGGAGGAAACATGGACAGCGAGGAAGGGGAGGACACAAGGAAGAGGAGGACACGAGAAGGGAAGGACACGAGGAGGCACGGAAGATGAGGAAGTACGAGGAGGAGGGGACAAGGAGGATGAGGAAGGGCAGGAGGAGGAGGAAACATGGACAGCGAGGAAGGGGAGGACACAAGGAAGAGGAGGACACGAGAAGGGAAGGACACGAGGAGGCACGGAAGATGAGGAAGTACGAGGAGGAGGGGACAAGGAGGATGAGGAAGGGCAGGAGGAGGAGGAAACATGGACAGCGAGGAAGGGGAGGACACAAGGAAGAGGAGGACACGAGAAGGGAAGGACACGAGGAGGCACGGAAGATGAGGAAGTACGAGGAGGAGGGGACAAGGAGGATGAGGAAGGGCAGGAGGAGGAGGAAACATGGACAGCGAGGAAGGGGAGGACACAAGGAAGAGGAGGACACGAGAAGGGAAGGACACGAGGAGGCACGGAAGATGAGGAAGTACGAGGAGGAGGGGACAAGGAGGATGAGGAAGGGCAGGAGGAGGAGGAAACATGGACAGCGAGGAAGGGGAGGACACAAGGAAGAGGAGGACACGAGAAGGGAAGGACACGAGGAGGCACGGAAGATGAGGAAGTACGAGGAGGAGGGGACAAGGAGGATGAGGAAGGGCAGGAGGAGGAGGAAACATGGACAGCGAGGAAGGGGAGGACACAAGGAAGAGGAGGACACGAGAAGGGAAGGACACGAGGAGGCACGGAAGATGAGGAAGTACGAGGAGGAGGGGACAAGGAGGATGAGGAAGGGCAGGAGGAGGAGGAAACATGGACAGCGAGGAAGGGGAGGACACAAGGAAGAGGAGGACACGAGAAGGGAAGGACACGAGGAGGCACGGAAGATGAGGAAGTACGAGGAGGAGGGGACAAGGAGGATGAGGAAGGGCAGGAGGAGGAGGAAACATGGACAGCGAGGAAGGGGAGGACACAAGGAAGAGGAGGACACGAGAAGGGAAGGACACGAGGAGGCACGGAAGATGAGGAAGTACGAGGAGGAGGGGACAAGGAGGATGAGGAAGGGCAGGAGGAGGAGGAAACATGGACAGCGAGGAAGGGGAGGACACAAGGAAGAGGAGGACACGAGAAGGGAAGGACACGAGGAGGCACGGAAGATGAGGAAGTACGAGGAGGAGGGGACAAGGAGGATGAGGAAGGGCAGGAGGAGGAGGAAACATGGACAGCGAGGAAGGGGAGGACACAAGGAAGAGGAGGACACGAGAAGGGAAGGACACGAGGAGGCACGGAAGATGAGGAAGTACGAGGAGGAGGGGACAAGGAGGATGAGGAAGGGCAGGAGGAGGAGGAAACATGGACAGCGAGGAAGGGGAGGACACAAGGAAGAGGAGGACACGAGAAGGGAAGGACACGAGGAGGCACGGAAGATGAGGAAGTACGAGGAGGAGGGGACAAGGAGGATGAGGAAGGGCAGGAGGAGGAGGAAACATGGACAGCGAGGAAGGGGAGGACACAAGGAAGAGGAGGACACGAGAAGGGAAGGACACGAGGAGGCACGGAAGATGAGGAAGTACGAGGAGGAGGGGACAAGGAGGATGAGGAAGGGCAGGAGGAGGAGGAAACATGGACAGCGAGGAAGGGGAGGACACAAGGAAGAGGAGGACACGAGAAGGGAAGGACACGAGGAGGCACGGAAGATGAGGAAGTACGAGGAGGAGGGGACAAGGAGGATGAGGAAGGGCAGGAGGAGGAGGAAACATGGACAGCGAGGAAGGGGAGGACACAAGGAAGAGGAGGACACGAGAAGGGAAGGACACGAGGAGGCACGGAAGATGAGGAAGTACGAGGAGGAGGGGACAAGGAGGATGAGGAAGGGCAGGAGGAGGAGGAAACATGGACAGCGAGGAAGGGGAGGACACAAGGAAGAGGAGGACACGAGAAGGGAAGGACACGAGGAGGCACGGAAGATGAGGAAGTACGAGGAGGAGGGGACAAGGAGGATGAGGAAGGGCAGGAGGAGGAGGAAACATGGACAGCGAGGAAGGGGAGGACACAAGGAAGAGGAGGACACGAGAAGGGAAGGACACGAGGAGGCACGGAAGATGAGGAAGTACGAGGAGGAGGGGACAAGGAGGATGAGGAAGGGCAGGAGGAGGAGGAAACATGGACAGCGAGGAAGGGGAGGACACAAGGAAGAGGAGGACACGAGAAGGGAAGGACACGAGGAGGCACGGAAGATGAGGAAGTACGAGGAGGAGGGGACAAGGAGGATGAGGAAGGGCAGGAGGAGGAGGAAACATGGACAGCGAGGAAGGGGAGGACACAAGGAAGAGGAGGACACGAGAAGGGAAGGACACGAGGAGGCACGGAAGATGAGGAAGTACGAGGAGGAGGGGACAAGGAGGATGAGGAAGGGCAGGAGGAGGAGGAAACATGGACAGCGAGGAAGGGGAGGACACAAGGAAGAGGAGGACACGAGAAGGGAAGGACACGAGGAGGCACGGAAGATGAGGAAGTACGAGGAGGAGGGGACAAGGAGGATGAGGAAGGGCAGGAGGAGGAGGAAACATGGACAGCGAGGAAGGGGAGGACACAAGGAAGAGGAGGACACGAGAAGGGAAGGACACGAGGAGGCACGGAAGATGAGGAAGTACGAGGAGGAGGGGACAAGGAGGATGAGGAAGGGCAGGAGGAGGAGGAAACATGGACAGCGAGGAAGGGGAGGACACAAGGAAGAGGAGGACACGAGAAGGGAAGGACACGAGGAGGCACGGAAGATGAGGAAGTACGAGGAGGAGGGGACAAGGAGGATGAGGAAGGGCAGGAGGAGGAGGAAACATGGACAGCGAGGAAGGGGAGGACACAAGGAAGAGGAGGACACGAGAAGGGAAGGACACGAGGAGGCACGGAAGATGAGGAAGTACGAGGAGGAGGGGACAAGGAGGATGAGGAAGGGCAGGAGGAGGAGGAAACATGGACAGCGAGGAAGGGGAGGACACAAGGAAGAGGAGGACACGAGAAGGGAAGGACACGAGGAGGCACGGAAGATGAGGAAGTACGAGGAGGAGGGGACAAGGAGGATGAGGAAGGGCAGGAGGAGGAGGAAACATGGACAGCGAGGAAGGGGAGGACACAAGGAAGAGGAGGACACGAGAAGGGAAGGACACGAGGAGGCACGGAAGATGAGGAAGTACGAGGAGGAGGGGACAAGGAGGATGAGGAAGGGCAGGAGGAGGAGGAAACATGGACAGCGAGGAAGGGGAGGACACAAGGAAGAGGAGGACACGAGAAGGGAAGGACACGAGGAGGCACGGAAGATGAGGAAGTACGAGGAGGAGGGGACAAGGAGGATGAGGAAGGGCAGGAGGAGGAGGAAACATGGACAGCGAGGAAGGGGAGGACACAAGGAAGAGGAGGACACGAGAAGGGAAGGACACGAGGAGGCACGGAAGATGAGGAAGTACGAGGAGGAGGGGACAAGGAGGATGAGGAAGGGCAGGAGGAGGAGGAAACATGGACAGCGAGGAAGGGGAGGACACAAGGAAGAGGAGGACACGAGAAGGGAAGGACACGAGGAGGCACGGAAGATGAGGAAGTACGAGGAGGAGGGGACAAGGAGGATGAGGAAGGGCAGGAGGAGGAGGAAACATGGACAGCGAGGAAGGGGAGGACACAAGGAAGAGGAGGACACGAGAAGGGAAGGACACGAGGAGGCACGGAAGATGAGGAAGTACGAGGAGGAGGGGACAAGGAGGATGAGGAAGGGCAGGAGGAGGAGGAAACATGGACAGCGAGGAAGGGGAGGACACAAGGAAGAGGAGGACACGAGAAGGGAAGGACACGAGGAGGCACGGAAGATGAGGAAGTACGAGGAGGAGGGGACAAGGAGGATGAGGAAGGGCAGGAGGAGGAGGAAACATGGACAGCGAGGAAGGGGAGGACACAAGGAAGAGGAGGACACGAGAAGGGAAGGACACGAGGAGGCACGGAAGATGAGGAAGTACGAGGAGGAGGGGACAAGGAGGATGAGGAAGGGCAGGAGGAGGAGGAAACATGGACAGCGAGGAAGGGGAGGACACAAGGAAGAGGAGGACACGAGAAGGGAAGGACACGAGGAGGCACGGAAGATGAGGAAGTACGAGGAGGAGGGGACAAGGAGGATGAGGAAGGGCAGGAGGAGGAGGAAACATGGACAGCGAGGAAGGGGAGGACACAAGGAAGAGGAGGACACGAGAAGGGAAGGACACGAGGAGGCACGGAAGATGAGGAAGTACGAGGAGGAGGGGACAAGGAGGATGAGGAAGGGCAGGAGGAGGAGGAAACATGGACAGCGAGGAAGGGGAGGACACAAGGAAGAGGAGGACACGAGAAGGGAAGGACACGAGGAGGCACGGAAGATGAGGAAGTACGAGGAGGAGGGGACAAGGAGGATGAGGAAGGGCAGGAGGAGGAGGAAACATGGACAGCGAGGAAGGGGAGGACACAAGGAAGAGGAGGACACGAGAAGGGAAGGACACGAGGAGGCACGGAAGATGAGGAAGTACGAGGAGGAGGGGACAAGGAGGATGAGGAAGGGCAGGAGGAGGAGGAAACATGGACAGCGAGGAAGGGGAGGACACAAGGAAGAGGAGGACACGAGAAGGGAAGGACACGAGGAGGCACGGAAGATGAGGAAGTACGAGGAGGAGGGGACAAGGAGGATGAGGAAGGGCAGGAGGAGGAGGAAACATGGACAGCGAGGAAGGGGAGGACACAAGGAAGAGGAGGACACGAGAAGGGAAGGACACGAGGAGGCACGGAAGATGAGGAAGTACGAGGAGGAGGGGACAAGGAGGATGAGGAAGGGCAGGAGGAGGAGGAAACATGGACAGCGAGGAAGGGGAGGACACAAGGAAGAGGAGGACACGAGAAGGGAAGGACACGAGGAGGCACGGAAGATGAGGAAGTACGAGGAGGAGGGGACAAGGAGGATGAGGAAGGGCAGGAGGAGGAGGAAACATGGACAGCGAGGAAGGGGAGGACACAAGGAAGAGGAGGACACGAGAAGGGAAGGACACGAGGAGGCACGGAAGATGAGGAAGTACGAGGAGGAGGGGACAAGGAGGATGAGGAAGGGCAGGAGGAGGAGGAAACATGGACAGCGAGGAAGGGGAGGACACAAGGAAGAGGAGGACACGAGAAGGGAAGGACACGAGGAGGCACGGAAGATGAGGAAGTACGAGGAGGAGGGGACAAGGAGGATGAGGAAGGGCAGGAGGAGGAGGAAACATGGACAGCGAGGAAGGGGAGGACACAAGGAAGAGGAGGACACGAGAAGGGAAGGACACGAGGAGGCACGGAAGATGAGGAAGTACGAGGAGGAGGGGACAAGGAGGATGAGGAAGGGCAGGAGGAGGAGGAAACATGGACAGCGAGGAAGGGGAGGACACAAGGAAGAGGAGGACACGAGAAGGGAAGGACACGAGGAGGCACGGAAGATGAGGAAGTACGAGGAGGAGGGGACAAGGAGGATGAGGAAGGGCAGGAGGAGGAGGAAACATGGACAGCGAGGAAGGGGAGGACACAAGGAAGAGGAGGACACGAGAAGGGAAGGACACGAGGAGGCACGGAAGATGAGGAAGTACGAGGAGGAGGGGACAAGGAGGATGAGGAAGGGCAGGAGGAGGAGGAAACATGGACAGCGAGGAAGGGGAGGACACAAGGAAGAGGAGGACACGAGAAGGGAAGGACACGAGGAGGCACGGAAGATGAGGAAGTACGAGGAGGAGGGGACAAGGAGGATGAGGAAGGGCAGGAGGAGGAGGAAACATGGACAGCGAGGAAGGGGAGGACACAAGGAAGAGGAGGACACGAGAAGGGAAGGACACGAGGAGGCACGGAAGATGAGGAAGTACGAGGAGGAGGGGACAAGGAGGATGAGGAAGGGCAGGAGGAGGAGGAAACATGGACAGCGAGGAAGGGGAGGACACAAGGAAGAGGAGGACACGAGAAGGGAAGGACACGAGGAGGCACGGAAGATGAGGAAGTACGAGGAGGAGGGGACAAGGAGGATGAGGAAGGGCAGGAGGAGGAGGAAACATGGACAGCGAGGAAGGGGAGGACACAAGGAAGAGGAGGACACGAGAAGGGAAGGACACGAGGAGGCACGGAAGATGAGGAAGTACGAGGAGGAGGGGACAAGGAGGATGAGGAAGGGCAGGAGGAGGAGGAAACATGGACAGCGAGGAAGGGGAGGACACAAGGAAGAGGAGGACACGAGAAGGGAAGGACACGAGGAGGCACGGAAGATGAGGAAGTACGAGGAGGAGGGGACAAGGAGGATGAGGAAGGGCAGGAGGAGGAGGAAACATGGACAGCGAGGAAGGGGAGGACACAAGGAAGAGGAGGACACGAGAAGGGAAGGACACGAGGAGGCACGGAAGATGAGGAAGTACGAGGAGGAGGGGACAAGGAGGATGAGGAAGGGCAGGAGGAGGAGGAAACATGGACAGCGAGGAAGGGGAGGACACAAGGAAGAGGAGGACACGAGAAGGGAAGGACACGAGGAGGCACGGAAGATGAGGAAGTACGAGGAGGAGGGGACAAGGAGGATGAGGAAGGGCAGGAGGAGGAGGAAACATGGACAGCGAGGAAGGGGAGGACACAAGGAAGAGGAGGACACGAGAAGGGAAGGACACGAGGAGGCACGGAAGATGAGGAAGTACGAGGAGGAGGGGACAAGGAGGATGAGGAAGGGCAGGAGGAGGAGGAAACATGGACAGCGAGGAAGGGGAGGACACAAGGAAGAGGAGGACACGAGAAGGGAAGGACACGAGGAGGCACGGAAGATGAGGAAGTACGAGGAGGAGGGGACAAGGAGGATGAGGAAGGGCAGGAGGAGGAGGAAACATGGACAGCGAGGAAGGGGAGGACACAAGGAAGAGGAGGACACGAGAAGGGAAGGACACGAGGAGGCACGGAAGATGAGGAAGTACGAGGAGGAGGGGACAAGGAGGATGAGGAAGGGCAGGAGGAGGAGGAAACATGGACAGCGAGGAAGGGGAGGACACAAGGAAGAGGAGGACACGAGAAGGGAAGGACACGAGGAGGCACGGAAGATGAGGAAGTACGAGGAGGAGGGGACAAGGAGGATGAGGAAGGGCAGGAGGAGGAGGAAACATGGACAGCGAGGAAGGGGAGGACACAAGGAAGAGGAGGACACGAGAAGGGAAGGACACGAGGAGGCACGGAAGATGAGGAAGTACGAGGAGGAGGGGACAAGGAGGATGAGGAAGGGCAGGAGGAGGAGGAAACATGGACAGCGAGGAAGGGGAGGACACAAGGAAGAGGAGGACACGAGAAGGGAAGGACACGAGGAGGCACGGAAGATGAGGAAGTACGAGGAGGAGGGGACAAGGAGGATGAGGAAGGGCAGGAGGAGGAGGAAACATGGACAGCGAGGAAGGGGAGGACACAAGGAAGAGGAGGACACGAGAAGGGAAGGACACGAGGAGGCACGGAAGATGAGGAAGTACGAGGAGGAGGGGACAAGGAGGATGAGGAAGGGCAGGAGGAGGAGGAAACATGGACAGCGAGGAAGGGGAGGACACAAGGAAGAGGAGGACACGAGAAGGGAAGGACACGAGGAGGCACGGAAGATGAGGAAGTACGAGGAGGAGGGGACAAGGAGGATGAGGAAGGGCAGGAGGAGGAGGACAAACAGAAGGACGAGTCGAAGGAGATGAAAAGGAGAAGGGAGGAGGAGACATGGGATGAGGAAGGGGAGAAAGAGCAAGGTGAGGCAGTACTCCTGTAATATTTTTTTTCATCTTGCTGATAATTTTGGCGGGGGGCCTCCAACGCACCATTTCGACCCCGGCCTTTTTTTTTCCTGAGGGGGGTGACGGATCATTCCCCTCATATGTCATGCACCGCACGGGATCGGTTGGGCACCTGTGCCGCACATAGGGAACCGCCCGCACGACGTGCGCTTGCAAGTATGGTAAATAGACGAGAAATCCTAGGAAGGCCCCAACAAACTGGAGACTCACGTTTGCTTTTTGCATACCCTACCCACCAACTCTAACCCCCCTTTCCCCGTTTAAATCGCTGGCTCACGGATACTGAGCCCTGTTCACACCCTCTCCATCCACTCCTGCATATCACACTGTAGGGGCATGCATTACCCGTTCCCCGTCCTTCCCTGACAGACCGAGAATATCATTACAGCATCAAACCTGCCAAACAACTCTCAAATACTCCAGTCAGTCACCTTCCCTTGTATTGTAAAATGAAGGGGAGGGGTAATAAGAATAAATAACTTAAAAAAAGAGAACGGGATGTCCTCTCATAGCTGAGTCGTATCCTCAGGGGTTTTTGCAATGCGGTCAAGAACCTGAAACATGGGCGTAATACCACTACCACCACAAATCTGCAACAACACAAAACA